TCTCTGGTTATGGCCTTACATTATAGAAGTAATGGTCGTTAAAGAGCAACACTGCAATAACATTTTAGGAACCCTTCAATACTGTGTGAAAACAAAGGTGAAGCAGACTTAAGGGGCTTCTGCAACTTTTCTGCAGAGATAGAACAGCAAACAACAAATTTAATGGTGTTTTGTGTGATCTTTGTGATTAAACTTTTTAAAAGCTACTATGGTGGTTTTTCTAATCAGGATCGTTCATTAAAAAAAGCTCATTAAAAATTACGAGAGTATTCCTGTTGGATAAACCTCCACGTAACCACTCCCACTAATTACACTGTCAGTTTAAGTTCTGTTTGTACAGGCGAAGTTTCAGAAACAGTATTCCTGCAAGTCTTAGAAAATTGGGAGCCCAGCTAGAGAAGTAACTATATTAACTATTAATATATTGATGGAGGAAAATACTAGATATATTTCACTTGTTGATACAAATCAAAATGTGCAGGTAAGCAGCTTTACTGAGGTCACCACTTACAGAACGGTGTGTTTTATTTTGACTTTATTGATGCTCTTGAAGTGTTCATGCAAACTAACAAAATATGGAGCAATTGTTTTGGAGTTATTCAGTGAGAGTCTACAGAACTCCGCATTACTAATGGTTTAATCTTGCGGGTTTTTTTTTTTCCCCTGTCTTATCTGCTATGTATTTCACTGCCCACAGTGAGCACTGTTAAATAAAAAGGACTTCCCTGCTATGAAATTGGCTCAAGCGTCAGGTTTGTTATTTAAAAGAAAATGCTTTTTAGATGTTTAATACTACTTGCTTAGTTTCTGTCACGACTAGGAAAGCTTTCTCGAATAAATATTATAAAAGTTATTTTTATGCTGGAGAGTTACTACTTCTTCTGCTGAACTTCTCCGTGATTTAAAATCTGGAGGGCTGTTTTATACATCTTCTATTTTGCCATTGACTTTAACTCTCCCCTTGGGTCTCAGGCCACGCGCTAGCCACACATCACTTATTCTGTGAGAATAAGCTATTGTTTTGGTAGCTGATGGAAGTAGACAAGATAAAGAAAATAGGATAAAGCAGTTGTGACTGCTTCGTGTGCATCACGCTCACTTGCGTCACATTTAACTGCTGTTTGTCAGGAGTGTCACACCTGCCCTACACATTTTCCCTCTGCAAGCTTTTTTTGGATTTCTCTATGAATGTACTTTGCTTCATGGAACAGAATGCAACAAAACGGTAAGGTGTTGAGGCAAAAGCAGCCTTCTGTAAATTTACTAAATTATTTTTTATTATTATCTATTTTCCTGAAATATCAGTGTTAACCTACCTTTCCCTTGTTTCAGCCTTAGCCTTTCTAAAACTAAGTTTAAATTTCTGTGAAAAACCTCTGAGATCTCTGAGATATGAATGCAGTTTATCAGAGCTTGTGGGCTGACAATAGCAGGAAATGTAAAGACGTTCTCTGCTTGGGCCTGTCTCCCATTCAGATTGAAAAGAGCCTTTTGCTTGGGCACAGTTCAGGATGATGATGCCAAATCCAGTGCCCAGGACATCTCTAGTCTGGTAGTTTCACCGCTCCTGTGCAGAGCCCAGTTCGCCAAGTGCAGTCAGCTTTAAGGACAGCCAATTCTTGGTGTCTTGGCATTGTAGCTCATGTTGGGAGCGATAGGATCTGTGGTTTGGATCGACGAGAGGTCATTTTGAGTCTAGTCAGGCATACTGACCACTCAGAGCAGATTACAGGGATGTTCTGTTGCAGAGGAACTAAATACCTTCTGTCAGAGCACTAAAAGCACAAAGCCAACTTACATCCAGTGCTAAGTGGAAGTTAATAAGGGCTGTTGGAGGTACCATACCAATCAAGTCTTGATTTTGATCAGATTTTGGTGACGGTTCTTTTAATCTGGAGTTGGATTGTCTTGTCATTTGAAGCAAATTTCCAGCATCTCAAATTTAAAAGTCAAACGCAACAATTTTTTGTACCTCACCCCAGTATTTTCATTTATTTAGGGGGAAGTAAAGCCTACAGTCACTGAAAACTGAACTCTGTTATCAGGGATCATAACTTGAGAGGTTGGAGCCAGTTTTTTGAATAGCTATTTTGGTACTTGTTCTTCTCAAACATGGAAGCAACTCAATGCAACTGCTCAAGGAGCTGTAGTATGGCATTCTGAACATCTGAATTAATACTGGGATGTAATTGTCCCTTCCTATCAAGAGATTGGTCTGTGTCGTGAGTTGCTGTGACCAGATTTTTCCTTCTGCCAACTCCTCCAAGGCTGGGTTACAACTGAAATTTGGAAAAAGGATCCGTGGCAATTCAAGTGTCTGGCGATAATGAAACACAGTAGCACTGCAGAGCTCTTGGCACAAAGGTTAGCCAAGTCTGATAACATCTTGTTTAATGGAGTAGGGGTGTGCTCCTACTTCAGTTCTGAGCATCTGTTAGGAGTAACTTGCCTACCCAGACTTCATAGGTTTGCTTAGGCTAACTTCATTGCGACATGAAGCCAAATTTTGACTAGAGTTACGGATTACTTTTTCGGTTACATTAGCATTCATGGCGAATGTTTCTGAAAATGTGTGTGTTAATAACAGCTTCCCACTTAAATGCTGAAGTTCCCAGCTAATCGATACTGCCTTTTGTCGTTGACCTATCTGACCTGAGCCCTATCCAGTATTCTTGGTGTGGCTTTGGATAAAAACTTCCTTTTTCCATTTCTCGCATGACTTAAGACCTTGTCTTTCGGAAACTAATGTTAGTACTGTCTGACAAGCCAGAGGCTTGGTGCCAGTATCTTCACCTTCAAAGAATTCCTCAAGCACTGGCGTAGTTGACCTGTTCATGATACTCAGCAGTTTGTGCAGGTAGTAATCAGCTATGTCTCGGTGCTATGCCAAAAATTGGAATTGGAGCAGTCTTCCATGCTCGTTGATTAGTTCATGTGCTGATGGTGTACCTGCTGCTGTTGAAAATCTGTAGAAGCAGCTCAGGAATGCAGTGGAACCCAGGTCTGCCTGAACGTGTGGAACCGAGTCTTTTAATCAGTTCGGGAATGCAGAGAAATCTTGGAAGCAATGTTGCAAATACACTGAAATTCCTAACATCTTTCCATCATGAAGCATTGAATTAATTCTGGGATTCTGCTGAAGTCCCAAATCCCTAACGCTCGTGCTCTTGCAGACTTCACTCATTTTGAAAGCAGTCATCCTTGGTTGAGAATGTTCCAGACCAGCTGTCACGCTTCTAGAACAGGACATGAATTTGGAGTCATCCTCCAAGGCTTGTATACTGTGAAGCTAATCTTGCAGAGGGAGTCAGAAGCTAATGAGAAGCAGCTATCTCATAGGAAAGAAGAGTTTAGTGACTCACAGCACTGCACTTCTGACTTTTCTCACTTTACTGCCTCCAGGAGTGGAAGGAATTTTAAGGATAATACATCTCTGAAAACAAAACCGAGGCACTGGCAAATGAGGAGACAACATAGAGCTTTTGACAGGTTCTGCACTTAGAGACTGGCTTCTTCGTTCCTCTGCTAATTAGCTCAATGCCACTGTTTTCTCATACTTAAAATGGAGGGGATATCTTACTTTCTCTGAAGGATTTTTAAAGATTTGGATAAAGAACAAAAAGTAAGATTTCTGAATCTGAACCACTTCAAATTATAAGGAGATCTGTATTTCGGAACTCTTTCTGCCAACAGATTTTTTTTTTTTACAATAAATGCTTCTAGGCATTTTGTGTCAATATCTTCTCAATTATAGTCTCTTAATAAAATGGAGGTGATATCTTACTTTCTCTGAAGTATTTTTAAAGATTTTGATAACAAAAATTAAGATTTCTGAATCTGAATCACTTCAAATTACAAGGAAATCTGTATTTCGGAACTCTTTGTCAACAGATTTTTTTTTTTTTACAATAAATGCTTCTAGGCATTTTGTGTCAATATCTTCTCAATTATAGTCTCTTAATATTCCGTGAAAAGGAAATTCAAATAATTTGTGTATGTAAGGAAGACAGCAGTATTTAAGGACCCTTTGAGGTCACTTGCAGACTGAGACTGGGCTTAAGTGAACAAGTCGTCTAAAGGCAATGTCAGACAGGCAGACATTTTTATTTTGGGCAAAAGGAGAGGTCAGGATTGTCGTCTGCAGCTCGTTCCACCTGCAGTTCGTAAGCAGGTTTACTGTGTGTAGTGAGTTGTTAAGGTGACTTTAAACCTGCATATTAGCACCATTTGGCTGTGCATTCTCCTGCGACATATGCAGGGCTGTAGTCCTCACCCTGTGTTTGTCTATATTGACTTATTAGTTTCCTGTTTGTGTATAAGACTATTCAGTGTTACAATTTAGAGGAAAAATAGAAAATAATGGAAGTTTAGGTGCTTGCATCCCTATAAAACTGGAGTTGTGGGATGACGGGGACAGGTCAGGGTCCAGGCTGGGGGATGGACAAATGCTCTACAGAGTGCCAACTGTTGAAATAATAGATTTTTTTTTTTTATTAGTTTTTTTTATTTCGGTAAGAAAGAAGGCATTTCAGGTTTATTTTTACAGAATATCTTCAGCAGGGAATCTACAGTTGTTGATTTTACAAAGAGTTTCTACTGAGAGCAGGTTTGGAAGGGCAATCTGTAATTGGCTGGCATTAATAACGAATTTAAACTATGACTACTGCTTTTAGAAATGACATCCAGAACTTAGTCAGAAGCATGTGAGAGAGCCCATGTGGGAGTGGGTCTAAGTGTGCCTGATGTGAGAACTGAGCAAAAAACACCACTGAGGTAAAACTTGTTTTGGTGCAGAAACAGACACCAATCTATTCAGATCTTATTTTTCATTCATACTCAAAAAGTAAACTTACTTTCTTATATCTTCTGTATTCATGGCTCATTAGGTGATACTTTCATCTCTGTATATTTTATAATATTTTCATTTGATTTGCCTCATATCCTATGTGAGAAGGGATGATGGTAGTCGACTAACACTGCTATTTTCAAATAACTTTTAGGTAACTGGAGGCTCCAGTGGAATCGGAAAATGTATTGCTATTGAATGTTATAGGCAAGGTGCTTTCATCACGCTGATTGCAAGGGATGAGGTAAGTGTATGTGTATTTTTACTGACTGAGCTCTGTTCACAAAATCTTCATAGGTGAGGAATAATTTTGGAATTGATAATTACTTGTACTTTCTTCAGTGTGTATTTTAAGGGGATCTGAAGCATTTCAAATTAATGCATTTGAATAGCAGAGGTGGCTGCCTTTTTAAGGAGTGTAGCCCAGCATGAAATTTGTGATTAGCTTCCCTTAAAACTCTGCCACTGCTATCACATCTGTTAATGGCATTCATTATTTCATTATCTAGACCTGTGGCAGAGGACAAAAGCATGAAAAACCATATTCTTTAAAGCTGTAGAAAAAAAAATGATAAGTAGGGGTTTAAAGACAATTCTTAAAATTCACAAAATATTTTGGTGTCTAATCAGCATTAAATTACAGTATTTAAAAGTGAAAAAATGTTCATTGACACAGCTTTAGAGGAGGAAGCATTGCTTTATGGTTTGGGGTTTTTTAACTAAGAAATATTCAGAATTTAGTTGGAATGACTGTTTCCATAATGGGTTATTTTATTTATAAAGAAAAAAACTTATTCAGTACTTGACTCTTTTGGGGGCACCTCAGTCCCAACAGTCTTTGATAATGTGCTTATACTTCAGAACTTACTTTGCATAATCTTGAATGCAGCTGGAATTAACACTGTTTTCTTGAACTATGACAGCTTGAATTTGCCAATTTTTAATTTAATTTTTATAATAATTCCATGACAGTGATCTTCAGAATAGTTTATGTAGTACTACATAAATATAGAATAGAATAAAAAAATTACTATCTACAGTCTTGGGTAGTCCCTGTAGTTATATGAAGCACAAGCATTAAATCTATTATAGAGAGTAATTACTGGCTTTAAAAGTGGAAGTGCAAAACAGATACGTGAGTTCTGGTAGCTTGATAGATCTCATGTTTTCGTCATCTATTCATAAATCTGTAAAACGACAATATTCCAGTGTTATACTTAGTTGAGGATATCTTTAGGTGACTTGGGGGAATGCTTTTAAGCCTTATTTCAATACTGAAGACTAGTATTGCTCTCAGCACTGCCGTGCTTTATCTGGGTTTTTTTTTATCCATTTCAGAACAAGCTGTTGCAGACAAAGAAGGAAATAGAAAAATACTGTGTTAATGACAAGCAGGTAAGATCACTGCTAGCACTGGCTGTTTTGTTTAAGATTGTCCCCACAACGGGGTTCTGTAGTCCTGTCTTTAAAACAAAGCTGTCTGACAGAAATGAGTGAGGACTCAGTACTGGAATTCAAAAATACCAATTTGTTTACGTGAGATGTTCTGATCTCTGCTACGCTTGCTGTTGCCTAGCTAATGCATTTAGCCTGCTTTTCCTAGAGAAAAAGTCTGATGACTTCAGCTGTAGGTGTAGTACACTTTTTGGGTAGCTGCAATTTACCGTCACTTGATAAGCATCTGTGTTCTTCAAGATCAAGTGGAAGAATTATTATTTTTTTTTCCAAAATCTCTTACATTTTGCAATTCTTAAATACAACAGTTGTCTGGGGAAAGATGTTTAGATACTCATTTCCAGGTTTAGTTCATACTTGCATTCCTTTTCCTGGCAAAGTTCTGTGACAGGTACACAAGTTAAATTTGTGAAGTTCTGAGGCTTGTAAACACTGAAGCTGCTTTGAATTGATCCTGCACTCATGCAAAAAGGCGTGCTTTTTAAGAACTTCTGGAGGTACCAGCTTAAAAATAGATAAGCTTGTTAATGTTCAAAATACACAGCTTCAAGATGAAATGCTAAAATTATTTTTTTGTGGTACTAAGTCAGGGGAAGAGGGGAAACAGTATTGAGACTGTTAACATCTTTGACTTCTCCTTTTCTGTTTTCTAGAACTTTTTGGTTACTTTCATGATTAAAAATACAAGCAATTTACTTGTCTGTGCAAAGGGATTTGAATTGATTAATTAGATATTCTGTGGAAAAGAAGGAATGGAAAAAGCTGAATATTCAAGCAATAATGTTACTATTAGCTGATATAAAATTTTCTTATCTCCATTTATAAGATAAGATTCTGTCTTCACTTCCTTATATTTTTGTCAAATAGCTCAAGTTGATTTTTTTTTTTTCCTGTGCATGTGGCCTTATTCAGATCAACTTTGTTTGAAAAACTAAGCCATTTGAGGTGAGGAGAAACCATGTTTTGCCCATTTAAAAAAAAAAAAAACCAAACAAAAAAATGCCAGCAAATCCAAATCACCATTTTCCTTTAGCTGCTCTAGTAGTTTCCCAAGCTTAGCATTAAAAGTTAATCCCTTGTCAAACACTGTGTCAAGGATATTCTTGTTAAGATCTGTTCAAGCTTGATAGATGCAGGCTTTTTAAAAGAACATTACTTGGTGCATGTTCATGAGAGTTGCAGTTAAAAATCTCCGAAAGTACCTTCAAGGCTGAGCAAACTCCAGTGCAGACTGAACACGACTGCTTTTGCAGGAGCAGCTTTCGACTTGCAGCCGGGTTAGGCACGGACAAACGGGAGCAATGGGTAGGCTGGCTCTTCTGCAGCTCTTGGGTTGTAGGCAAGGTCACAGGGAAGCCAGCCTGGCTTAAATTCACCCAAAGAACTGAGAAGAGTAAGGAGTCTGGGGCAGAGCTCACACTGGAGCAGCAGATCAGAAGCTGGGAAGTGAGGGCAGCTAAACTGAGAGATTGCTGGAAGTGGAGAGAAGGACGTTGTCGGGTCTGGGTCGTGTGCGCAGAGACTGTTTACCACATGTCGAGCTAAGAGGCAAAGATCCTCAGGACAGATTACTTTTTATGTGAGCATATGTTGTCACCATTCAGCTTTTGGATATATCCATGAAACCAGGTTGTGCTGACAGCCAGGTCTGACATCTACAGACATTTTAGCATTTGAGTTTGCGAGCGATTTATTTAGAGGTCTGACAGTGCAGGCTTTCATGGCGCAGGTATGCAGTGGAGCAAAATCCTTGCCCTTAGAGGTTCCTTTGCAATATCTTTCTAATCCCTTTCCTAATATAGAATATTCCTCGTTACTTCACTGTGAGTTGATTTGATCTTTTATTGTGAAAGCTTTACCCAACACCATGCAATATTTAGAACAAAAGGTGAGGAACAGGGCTGAGGATATTAGACTGTTTCTGGCACCTCCTAGGTGTGTGGATCTACAGTGAATGCTTTGGAGTGAAAGTAATCACATTGATAAATAATGCAATAAAAATATTGTAGAATAAGAACATCTGATAATAGGAGCAAAGATGTGGATTGTATAATGTGATAGTAGACAATAAAAGCTGTGATAGTTCCCAAGTGTGGTGTTCACAGTATGAATGATAATCTGGTATTAAACAGCTGCTCCAATTTTCGGAGAGAGCTGTGACTTTTTTTTTTTCAACCTTCCCACTGATCTTGCAAAGACATCCAGATAATAAATCACCGTCACTTTCATTCATCTGCTGTTTTCTTCTTAAACTTATGTGAAAGATAAATATTTCCAAAATGTAATAAATGCCTTAAAGGGAGATGCGTGCAGACCCACCAGTAACTTGCACCACAAGTTTACCCTCTTGTCCAAGTGCACACAGTGCTGGGAGGCAGGAATAGCCAACCTGCTGTACAGGAATGGCAAGCAGTTCTGTTTATGCAGCTGGAAGTGTTACAGTCTGACCAGAGGCAGACCTGACAAATAGCTAGCTGCCAAAGCAGTTAGTTACACTGGGCTAAGCTGCTTTTTTGTGTGTGTATATGCGTCCACGTGCTCCCTGACAAGTGGGTACCATCATACTTGTTACAAACTGGTGATGAATTTGTATCACCTGAGTTTAAATGAATTGACCAAAATAACAGAAAGGCTAGAAATTGCAACAGGAGTACAAGACTCCTCCCTCCTTTTGTTTTGATATGTGATTGGTTTTCCTTTCAAGATGACGAATTACGCAGAAGCCCTACTGTGTGCTCAGCACAGAGGGTAGCTTGTTTGTCTGTACCTGGCCAAGCTGGAGTTTTAGAGTGTGTAAGTGGTAGCCCAAAGGCAGTGCTTCCTTCTGCCAGAAGTTTATTTGAACATGCTTCAAAACATAGATTCAGAGGTCATCGTGCTGAAAGCAATGAGAAACTTTCAAGAAAAATAGTGCCTAACCTTGAGCTGCAACAAAACTTAGATATCAGTGTCACGTGTTTTATGTTGTCCGGTCCTTCCCAGCTCCCTGCCATAGGGACAATGCTAATTTTCATTGTTCTGTGTCTTTCAAACTAAACACCATTAATCTCTGGTTTCTAGACAAGGAATAAACATATACACGTGGGGTTTTTTTACATATTTGTGACAATGTCAGTTTCTCATAGAATTTTTTAGTTTTATCCTTCATGTGCCTCAACTAAACAGTGTGCAACTAAGTTTACTACTGTTTTTTTTTTAAAAAAAGCAAAACAAAACAAAAAAACCCAGACAAAACGGAGACAACATGCATTGCCAGCGTTAAAGTTAGCAGGTTTCTAATGCTTGCTTTATAAATTCTGGAAAATATTTTTTGCAGCGCTGATGCTGCAGTTTCATAACAATACTTTGCAACCATGCCTTTCTATGATGTGGGGGGAAAAAAAAGTAGCTTTTCTTAAAGAGGAGCCTAAGCCATGCAAATGGTTGGACCTGTATGTAACGCTGATGAAAGTTAAATGTAGCACTGTGAAATTTTGACTGCCTTAGAATAGTTTTTGCTAAACTTGATGTAAATAAGTCATAGTGTGTCTTAGTACAGTAAATTAGAAATGATACTTTGCACGTGAGTATCTGCTTTAAAGATCCTGAAGTGCTTATTCATTCTTAATATAATCTTTCATTATACTACAGTGTGTGTGTGTGTGAGGAGCTTGGAGGGGGCTTTCTTCAGTGTGGGAGAAGCACCCAGTGTCCTGTCAAAAAGACTTTCTGTTTTTCTGGAAAAGTTACATCACTGGGATCTGTTTCATTTTTGAAAGGCTCAGAGTCAACGTTACTATACTTACTCTGTTGTAAAAATGTTCTTTGCCTTTCTAGGTTGTACTGTGTATTTCTGTTGATGTATCTAAAGACTACGAACAGGTGGAGAATGTTCTAAAACAGGTGAGGAATTCATTGATTCACCAATGTATCTCAAAAATCTTATCTGTGTGTGATATATTTCTAGTGCAGGTAGTTTCTTTTAATGACTCTGATGTTCTAGGAAGATATTTTTCCTGCAAACGAACATCTTAACCTCTGTCCCCTCTTCTAGGCTCAAGAGAAGCTGGGTCCAGTTGACATGCTTGTAAACTGTGCAGGAACGTCAGTTACAGGAAAATTTGAGGATATTGAAGTGAATTCCTTTGAAGTGAGTTATTACACTTTATTTTATTATGTGATGATTATTTTTTACTCAACTACTCTAACTACTAGATTGCAATCTTGTGTCTTTGCAGACTTTGTATGAGTAGTGGTACACTTGATTTGTGGTAGCTGTCAGAACTAAAATGTATCTTCAGGTTTGTGAGGACTGCCTCTAATTTCTCACCTAACTATGGGTCCATTGACGGGTCACAACAGCGAATTCTCCCTCTGGGACAGAGTCCTCAAGATGGCAGAAAAGTGTGGCATGCATTTTTATAGTGTAATGCACTGTCAAAGGCACTGAATTTCACATGATCTTTTTCTGGTGAAGATTTTTTTTAATGTATTTTTATATATTATATATAATATGTGAAATTATA